AATCGCCGTGCGTGACTTTTGCCCGCCTTCCGTCGCCGCTCCCCCTGCTTCGATTGGTAGTATTTTGGTGTTAAAAGATTCACCTTTAAACTCTTTTTGAGCTTCCGCAACTGAGATTCGACACTCTATAATAGAGGTACTCACGTTGATGCATTCATCTTATTAACCCTTCATAGCTAGATTCAGTGCCTATATTTTATTAACCTCGGCGCCTGCTTTAGACCGTACAGAGATTTGTTCAACCTGCAAACCAAGTTCTTTTTTTTTCTTCAAAACCTTCATGATGTAGCATGTAAATCTCTTCTTCAAGATCTCCATGAAGAAAAGTTGTTTTAACATCTAGCTACTCTAGATGTAAGTTCAATATAGCACACATTGCCAAGACTAACCGAATTGTTGTTAGTTGAATCACAGGAGAAAAGATTTCATTGAAATCAATACATTTTTTTAGCATATCCTTTGACCATCAGTCTTGTACGATACCTCTCCACTTGATCGTTACCATTTCGCTTGATTTTGAATACCCATTTGTTACTAATTGGCTTCCTTCCTTATGGTAGTGGCACAAGGTCCCATGTATTATTTTTATGAATGACTTCAATTTCTTCTTGCATTGTCATCATCCACAGTGAAGCATCTGAGCTGTTTATTACCTCCTGGAATGTTGATGGCTCACCGTCCTCTGTTAAAAGGCAGTATGCAATATTTCTTTCTATAATATAATCTGAGTGTCAATTGGAACGTCTTTTCACACGATCTGATTGACGAGTTGTTAGAGCTTCAGAACTCTCTAGTTATTGTTCATCATGTACTGGTTTTGCTTCAGAAAAATCTCATTGTTTAAACTCCTTTTCCACATGTATCTATGTAGTCTCTGACTTTTCAGCGCTACCGTCTTCTTCTTTTCTTTGTAGTTTATCTTTTACAAAGACAACATTCCTGCTAATGATCTCTTTACGGGCAGTGGGATCCCACAAGTTATACCTCTTTACACCATCAGCATACCCCAAGAATTTGTATTTTTTGAATTTTGGATCTAACTTTGAATTTTTTTGGGAGTTGTACATCACGCACACAATACTTCCAAATTCATGGAGGTTTGAATAATTAGCTGATTTATCGGTCCTCATCTCCATTGGTGTCTTCAGCTCTATTATAGTTGATGGAGCTCGATTCACCAAATAACAGGCGTTATTGACTGTTTCTGCCCAAAATGATTTTTCTAGGCCTGCAACCCTCAATATTGCTCTTGTTATTTCTAACAAGATTTTATTCATTCGCTCTGCCACTCCATTTTGTTGAGGAGTGTTCGCCGCTGTGAATTGTATTTTGATGCTTTCTTTTATGCAAAATTATCAAGTTCTTCACTTATGTATTCTCCTCCATTACCTATTCGGAAACACTTGATATTATTTCTAAAATCAAGTTCCACTCGCGCTTTAAAGATTTTTAAAGTTGAAAACATATTTGAAATTTTCTTAATATGGTATACCCAACATCTCTTGGAGTAGTCATAAATAAATGAGACAAAGTATTTGGCTCCGCCTAGGGATGTAACTGGTGCTTTCCATACGTCAGAATGAACCAATTCTAGAACACTTTTGCCTTTAGAATTTGACGTGTTGAATTTGAACTAGTACTGCTTACTTGCTATACAATGCTCACACAAAGTAAATGATACCTTTGTTAAGTCTGGAAGTAGTTTTTTCTCCACAAGGACTTTCATTCCATGTTCTGACATGTGTCCAAGTTACTGATGCCATAGCATTGCAGAATCTGAACTACATGAGGCAACAGAGGCTTCTGCTTCTAGTAAAGTATCTCCATTCAGCATGTACAAGTTTGCTGCTATCTTTTTGTCTTTCATCACCACAAGCGCTCCACGGAACAACTTCATGATTCATTTCTACGTTTAAATCTTTCTTACATTATTATCCAATAATCCATAGGATAATAAAATTTTCTTTAGGCCTTTCATGTGTCACACATCTCGAACAACTTTAATTGTTCCATCATACATCTTCAATTTGATAATTCCAACGTCAACGATCTCTATGGCAAGATCATTGCAATTATACATAGATCCTCCTGAGACATGTTCATAATGATGAAACAATTCTCTTCTTGAGGTCATGTGATATGTTGCTCCCGAATCAATGAGTCATATATCTGCAAATCTCTTTCTACCTTCCATGGTGGTTGGCGCTTCACAACATAGAGCATGTCCATCATCTGAAGTGTTTGCGGTATTGCCTTGTGGATTGGAGTTTTTACCTAGACTCCAACAATCATTCTTTAAGTGACCCTTTTACGGTATTACCTTGTGGATTGGAGTTTTTACCTAGACTCTAACAATCCTTCTTCAATTGACTCTTCTTTTCACAGTTGTAGCACTTTAAATTCTTCTTGCTTCTCGACTTTGATCTACCATGTTTGTGACTACTACTTTGGCCACGTTCTGTTGATCTCCCTCTCATCTTTTTCAACGCTTCTGCTTGTTACAGATTTCCTTATCTGTCTTTCTTGCTCTTGCGCCGATTTTCTTCTTGTAGAACAGAAGCTGCAACGTCATAGAAGACTAGACTGGTGACATTACTGTTTGTCAAGTTGATGATGAGTTGATCGTACGAATCAGGTAGACTTTGAAGTATAAGTTCAACACGTTCTTGTTCTCCTATTGTACAACTTAAGGATGTAAGCTGAGAAAATAAATTGTTCAGTGTGTTTAAGTGCTTCGTCACTAAAGTAGATTCTGGCATCCGGATAGTGTACAATTTTCTCTTAAGGATAATTTTATTGTGCAACGATGTGGCCTCGTATAGTTTGGTGAGATTATCCCATATCTCCTTAGTTGTCTTCTTCTCCTCAATGCTTGGCAATACTTCATCTGCTAATGCTAGATGAAGGTTTGTCATAACATTCTCATCTATCTCGTTCCATTTGCTTTCATATGTGAAATCTACCAACTTTTCACTGATAGTCGCTAGACAACCGTCTTTCCTCAAGATGACCTTCATTTTCAATTTCCACAATGAGAAATTTCTCCCATTAAACTTTTCAATATTAAATTTCGTTGCCATAGCTTCTATTATGGATAGCTCCCACTATTTCACTATCGTGAATAGTTCTATGGAACATTAAAGAATGGGTAATACCTTCTTACTTTCTTATGTTGGAGGATCCAACTTTTGGTAGCAACCACAAAGATAATAAGTAGATATTACACACTCAAATCTGGCTCTGATGACAATTATTGCAGAATACGACTATCGGATAGAGCAAAATCGCAACTGATAATTTGAGAATATAAAAATAAAGATAAAGAATACACAAATTTACGTGGACGTGGAAAACCCCCACGGGCAAAGGTAAAAGAATTTTATTATGAGAAAATAGGAATTACAACTTCTCAATCTAACAAGGAGAAAATAATGACAATTCTCTCTTAATAAAAAGGAGAAAACAACTCTAAAGAAAACTCTCTAAATTCTCTAGTAGTGGGAGAAAGTTAGAATGATTTGGGATGATTTTGAAGCTAAACGAGTTAGAGTATTTATAGTTGAAGCTTAAAGACTAATCTTGTAAATATCTTAAAGTAAAAGGACTAAATAAACAATTTTCCATGCCACTTTTTCAACCAAATCAGCCTTGAATCTTGACTGAAAATTTGTACTTTCAACATGTTAAACCGATGACAAGACACCGTTTTAACACACGAAATGGCCACACATGCTGCTATTTGACTTCCCAAAACCTTTGACCAACTTTTAAGAAAAAAATGAAAAAAATTCTCTTCTTCTCCGTTCTTCTCTTTCGTGAACCACGCAAAGGGTGTTGCAAAGCTCACCAATACAACAGCTGATGGCTAGAAATTGCCCTAACTGGTGGAGCATCAACACTATGCAGCCCCATTACTACACAAACTTTCATGTTCATAAACTAGAAACGAAAATACATGGCTAGTTCTAGTATGAACAAGTGGTGTTTCCCTCATCCCAAGCATTAGCTTCTTTTTCTTCGTTAAACCAAAAAATATCCTTGATGCTCCCTTCCTTTAAAGATTTAACATGACAAGAAAGAAGCAATGGTTCACATGATTTACACGAGCAAAGGTGTCTGCACGGAAAAAAAGAGAATGCATGAGCTCCTAGAGTTGTAGTGTTTACAAGCCATCTTATTGTTGTTGTTGATTTTTGTTACAGGACTCATCTTCAGCTGAACTGTTGTTCCAAATGTGGCTGTCTTTAGCTTGTTCCAGTCTTCTTCTTCAGCTCCTAGAGGGTACCTTTGCTAACGCAGACACTCTTCGATTCATGGTGGAGAAGAAAAGAGGAGAAATTTTCAACTTCTTTTTCTTAAATAAGAGTCAAAAGATTTTGGAAATCAAACGGTGGCAGTCTCGTGTGGTAAAGCAATGCCAAGTCATCATTTTAACGCACCACATCAGCATTTCGTTATCCTCAGTAATCGTTGTCAATGTCGAGTGTCCAATTTATTACAAATCGAGAACACTAGTTATCAATTTGTCAATTATCAATTTGTTAGTTTTAAACTTCAGTGGAGAAAACGAAAACATACTTAAATATTAGTGACCATTTGTATAGTTTACCCTTTCTTTTATTATCATCAAAATTTCCCCACTCTTTGACCTTTTTGCTCATCAATCCATCTCAACCAAGAAAATTGCAAATTATTTGCCATAGTAATGACATGACTTAAACAATGCGGCTGACCATTTACTTTCATGCAGTAATGCTCGGGCATAAGACTTGGTATTTAGTTGCATGTGCCAAGACCAAACTATGGCCGTTCGTACAATCAGTTTTTTTTTCTATTGCATTAAAGAAAGTTTCACATGTAAATTTTATAGAATTAATATTTTTTATAAAAATAAAATATAAAAAAAACTCTTTATTCTATACAGATTAATTTCGTCAAGGAATGTTGAAATTGGAGAATTAACCATGTACGTGCCACGCCAGTTACAAAATTTCCTAGTAATGGCAATCTATTTTGAAATATTTGGAGGCACTATAATGGCCTTTAAAAAGGATCCAAATACTTATGGATGGACTTTGGTATTTGAATTTCCCTACTAATACCATGATATCAAAGCTACTAAGTTGCTCTCTTTTCCTCTTTTGCATTCTTTGTAAGCTGGATCATGTTGAATCCAGGACATCAATGAACGAGACTGAAATACAAGCATTGCTGGCCATCAAAGCTTGAATAATAGTTGATCCTTACGGGGTCTTAACCTCCTAGAATGATTCTCTACATTTCTGCAACTGGCAAGGAGTAACGTGCGGTCGACAACATCGAAGAGTGACTGCCTTGCGTCTATCATCACTCAAATTGGCAGGTGACCTTTCTCCTCACATAGCCAACCTCACGTTCCTTAGGGTGATCAATCTCGGGAACAACAGCTTCTGTGGTCCGATCCCCAGAGAAGTTACTCGACTATTGGAGCTCACCAACAACTCCTTCTAAGGTGAACTTCCAAGAAACCTTTCCCATTGTTCAAACTTAAAAGTCATTAGCTTAATAGGAAATGCGCTCGGAGGGGAAATACATGCCGAGCTAGGTTCTTTGTCTAGGCTCCAAAGTCTTCTACTAGCAGCAAACAACTTCATAGGAACAGTTCCCCCTTCGTTAGGGAACATCTCTTCTCTCCTTCATCTTTCCGTATATCAGAACCACCTCGAAGGAAACATTCCTAGTGAGCTCGGGCAGCTCTCAAACTTTAAATTTTTGCAGTTGGGTTTAAACTTCTCTGGTACAGTTCCTAAGCAACTGTATAACATCTCATCCATTTACTTCTTGTCTGTACTTGATAACCAGTTACGAGGCCAAATCTCTCTTTACATAGGCTTGACCCTTCCTAATCTTGAGGTCATTTCTCTTGCGGGAAACAAGTCTTCAGGGCCAATTCCAACAACAATAGTCAATTCCTCAAGGCTCATAAAACTCGATATGGGTGGGAATTCTTTGTCAGGGTCAATACCAAAGAATTTGGGAAGCCTTCAAAATATACAGTTCTTATCATTTAGCGAGAACTTCCTTGAGAGTTCCGATGATTTCAGTTTTCACACTTCATTGACTAATTGCACCAATCTTCGTACCTTATTGTTTTCCTACAACAACCTCACAGGTGTTTTGCCAGATTCAATCGGTAATCTCTCTGCAAATCTAAATTATTTGATGATAAATTCAAATTATATATCAGGTACCATACCGAAAGAGATAGGAAACCTTGTAGGCTTGGAGTTGCTTGCATTAGATGAAAACATGCTCACAGGTTGTATCCCCGATTCTATTGGAAAATGTTCCAAGTTGAAATCTTTCCATGCTTACACAAATAGAATCACAGGGGAAATTCCTCATTCTTTGGGAAATATAACCGAGCTAATTGTTTTCGACTTATCTGATAATTTTCTAGAAGGAGGCAAACCTGCATTTTTAGGTAACTTCATTCGCTTGGAAGTATTGGATCTTTCGCAGAATCGTCTAAATGACACAATACCAAAGAAAGCTATCGGTCTCTGTTCCTTCTTAAGAGCCCTTTCCTTTGCTTCAAATAGTTTAACGGGAACTTTACCACCAGAGTTGGAAACTGTAAAAATCTCAACATTTTGGATGTATCGAGCAACAAACTTCATGGGGAAATTCCAAGCTCTCTTGAAAACTGTGTGATGTTTAAATTACTTTACCTGCAGATGAACTCTTTTGAAGGAACTATTCCTTCTTCCTTCAGAAAATTGAGAAGCTTACAAGAACTTGATGTTTCCCACAATAATTTGTCTGGCCAAATACAAGAGTTTTTGGGTGAACTTCCTCTTTTCACCAATCTCAACCTGTCGTTTAGTAGCTTTGAAGGCAAAGTGCCGACGAAAGGAGTGTTCAACAACATCAGTGCATTCTCAATCGTTGGAAACAACGAGTTATGCGGAGGGATCAAGCCACTTCGATTGACTACTTGTCCTACAGAAATTGCAAAGAAAAGGAAAATCTTCCCACGTAGAGCGATAATTGTGACCAGTTTTGTCCTCTTTGTTGTTTTGTTCTTAACATGTCTCTTTGCAATCAAACGACGGGCAAGCTTGTCAAAAAAGTGAAAGGGAATCACCAGCCCATTGGAGAAGAAACATCTGAAACTTTCTTACGCCGAGCTCCTTCATGCAACTGACAATTTTTCTTCAGCCAACTTAATTGGTAAGGGAAGATATGGTTCAGTCTATAAAGGGATTCTAAGTTCTGATGATCAAACAGAAGTTGCTGTGAAAGTACTTAATCTTCAACAGCGGGGTGCCGACCAAAGTTTCAAATCTGAATGTGAAGCCCTTAGGAAGCTTAGGCATCGCAATCTCGTCAAGGTCATTACTTCATGCTCAAGCATTGATTTTCAAGGTAACGACTTCAAAGCCTTGGTGCTCGAGCTTATGCCAAACGGGAGTTTAGAAACTTGGTTACATCCAAGTTCAACCAAGGTACACAATTCACCAAGCTTAAATCTGATTCAGAGGCTCAACATTGCCATTGATGTAGCCTCTGCATTAGATTATATTCATTCCCAATTCGACAAGCCGGTCGTCCATTGTGATCTAAAGCCGAGCAATATTCTTCTCGATGCTGACCTTACAGCCCACATTAGTGATTTTGGCCTAACAAGATTTCTTTCAGAGACAATCTAGCAATCCAATTCAGAGCAAAGCAGTTCGGTGGGAATAAGAGGAACCATGGGATATATTCCTCCAGGTAATTTCATTCTACATTAGCAAGGTAATACATTTATGTATTTGATATAATGATGATCATCTTAATGATTACAGAATATGGAATGGAAAAGAAAATATCCATACATGGCGATGTGTACAGCTATGGCATCATTTCAATGGAGTTGTTTACTGGCAAAAGACCCACCGACGGAATGTTTACAGGAGAGTTGAGCCTACGTGAGTATGTAAAGACTGCCATGCCTGATCATGCAGTGGAGATAGTTGATAGTAGGCTCAATTTTGAAGATGAAGCAGCCTTCAATCAAAATGGCCAAAGCAGCAGAGGCGTCAACAACATCATTAAATGCTTGGGCTCGGTGCTTAGCATAGGAGTGTCTTGCTCGGATGATTCACCGAGTGAACGAATGAACATCAGTGATGTGCTGAGAGAACTTCAGAAGACTAGAAATATGCTTCTTGGAGATCAAAGGAGAAGAGCGTTGCAAGGTTCAGTGCATCAAAGGGGACATTAGAAATTTGTACCAAAAATAGAAGTGTTAAATACGGATTTACTCTTCCTAGTATGGTAAGTTTTGAAATACAATTCTAATTTAAGGCAAGCCATCTGGGTTATCATATGACAAAGTTCAAAGCTTTAAACTAAGCAAGAAGCATGATGACAATTACAAATGCAGCCTTAATATGAATCAGGAACATGACCAATTGTCAAATAACTATCCACAAATATTACGATCGGTGCAAAAGTAACTAAAATTTTCAATATTTACGACTTGTTTTCCCCACTGGGGCTTTTCCTTGTTCCATTCATACACATATAAGTGCACTTCATCTGGATAGATTATCAATAGATAGTTGGAACTGTATTTATAGTTTGATAAATTAAAGATAAATTCTCTTATTATCATCGAAATTTTTCCACTCTGTGTGCCCATCAATCCATCTCAACCAGCTAAGAAAAATTGTAAATTATTTGTCATTCTAATTACTTAAACAACTAGGTTGAACATTAATTTCACGCAGTAACGATCGGGGCCACAAGACTTGACATTTGTTTGCATGGGCCAAGACTAAACCAATGCCATTCGAACTATCAGTTTTTTTAGGGTAATTTCTTTGTTAGTCCAGAATTAAATAATGAGTAAATTGCACCATAGATTTTCAGATTAAGAATTTGAATCTGAATTGATTTTTACACTTTAGTGCATCAAAGGAGACATTAGAAATTTGTACCAAAAATAAAAGCGTTAAATATGTGGTTTTAGACATTTAGCGTCTCCACTATGGTAAAATTTGAAATACGATCCCTCTAATTTGATTACATTTGATCATATATTCCTATAATTTTGTAAAGTTCCAAATTGGTAACATTGTACGTGACCACCAATCATCAGGCTCTAACGGTGGTTGTGGGTGTTGAGTTGTCTGAGTTAACACTAGAAGGGACCATTTGTAAGGTAGGAGAAACAGGAAAAAATCGTTTGTGAGAATGTTTTAGCTCTGATTATCATAAAAGAAAAGAGAAAAAATTTCAACTTCTTTACTTAAATCAGGGTAAAAAGATTTTGGAAATCAAACGGTGGTCGTCTCGTGTGGTAAAACAATACCAAGTCATCATTTTAATGCACCACATCAACATTTCATTATCCTCAGTAATGGTTGTTAATGTCGAGTGATAAATTTGTTACAAATCGAGAACATTAGTTATCAATTTGTCAGTTTTAAACTTCAGTGGGAAAAACGAAAACTTACTCAAACATTAGTAATCATTTATGTAGTTTACCCTTTCTTTTATTATCATCAAAATTTCCCCACTCTTTGACCTTTGTGCTCATCAATCCATCTCAATCAGCTAAGAAATTGCCATAGTAATGACTTAAACAATGCGGTTGACCATTACTTTCATGAAGTAATGGTCGGGCATAAGACTTACCATTTACTTGCATGTGCCAAGACCAAACTATGGTCATTCGTACAATCAGATCTTTTTCTATTGCATTAAAGAAAATTTCACATGTAAATTGTCGTAACCGGTTTTCGTCCGAGTACGAATGTTTCTTGGCGGAATAAATAAATGGTTTTTAATGAAATGTTTTGGAGTCTCCATCGAACCTTTAGGGTTAGGTAGGTTGAATACCTAAAAATTATCTTTTAAAAGAGTTTTTAAAAAACAATATTTAAAAGAGTTTTGGGTCGGTTACGTTTGGGGAAGGATTAGCTCCCCCACAACGCCCAAAATTGGTACCCGTCAATTATAAAATTGTCTCTATTAATGAAAGTCAAAGAATTCAAATATGAATTTAATTTATGATCTTATTATTTCAGATCCAATCAGATAATTCTAAAGAAAATGATTTTTATAAAACTAAAGTAAATATTTATATTTTGTAGAGTTCTATAAATATGGTATTTATTTATGTAAAAATATCAGAAAATGACATCTAGTTACTTTAAGACAACATTTTATTTGATATAAAAAAATAAATAAATATTAATAAGAATATGATATTTTTCCTAAAAGTTATTTAAATAAAAATAAAGTATATATATATATATATATATATATATATAAACATGACCAATAATTACCAATATATTCTCATGTTGAATACATTACTACATGTGCGTGACTAATAATAAAATATAAAATAAAATATATTCCAATAAAGTAAATATATATATTTTAAACAGGATCATCTTTGAATACATTATTACATGCGTGACTAATAATTTAAAAAGTCAAGAGTAGTTGAATAGTTTTAATAACATACTATTCCCATGTTGATTTTATTATCAATATATTTATATAATATAATTTTTATCACCTAACATCTGTAATCAATAAACAAAACATTTAATATAGGTATTAATAGTAATTTAATCATAATTAATTATAAGGAAATAAAATAAAAATTATTAAAATTATAGGGGATAAAAATTAAAATACTAAATTAAAAATATTGAAAAAAGGAGCAATAATAAAATATAAAATAAAATAAAATAGTGACCAAAATAAAGAAAATTAAAATTATAGGATTAAATTAAAAAGTAATAAACTTATGGTAAAAATAAAAATTGCTAACATATCAGTGATTAAAATGTAAAATATTAAAATTAAAGGTTCTAATTCTAAATATTATAAAATATAGATATTATTAGAATAATTTAACTTTAATTAATTATTAAGGATTAAAATAAATATATTAAAATTTAAGGGACTAAATCTAATATTTTATCCTAAATATATATATTAATGACCAAAATAAAATATATTAAAATATAAAGACAAAATTAAAAAGGCTCAGAAATTCAATTAGGTGACTAAAATGAAAATTTTATAAAACCTTAAGGACTATAGACATATTTTCCCATTAGTAAATTACGAAGACAACCCTCACCAAAACGTCGTCGTTTTGGTGAGGGTACAAATACCCAAAAGTCGGCCTTAATGGCTCATTCTTCTTTATTTTTCCATTTATATCTCTCTCTCCAAGAGAGAGAAACTGAATTCTCTCTCACCTCTCTCTAGGATTCCCTCCGGTGAGGGAATCCGACCACCGACCGGCAGTCATTCTCCGGCGACGATAACCACTGACGGCCACCGTTTACGGTGGCCGGAGTTAGAGAAAAAAACCCCAAATCGTAGATATAAAAATACTAACGCCTATTTCGAACTCCTTTCTTTCTAAAACCTACTAGACCGACGTAGATCTAAGTTTATACCTTTGAAAACCCGACGACTTTTGGTTTTCTCGGTAAGCTTTTCCTTTTTATTTCTTTCGATTTGCTGTTGGCTATGTATGGTTGCTCTCTTCCCGTTCTTGCTCTCTGTTTGTTGGTGTCTTCCTTGTTTTCCTCTCCCCTTCCTTGCAGGTTCGAAGGCTTTTATAAGCCCCAATGATGGTGGATATATGGTGAGTCATCGGATCTATGATGGTGACTCACCATAGATCGTGATGTGTGCGGCTGTCCTTATATCTTCTAGAGTCTTCGGTGCGGCGATGTCGTCGTGGCAGCAGCTGGATGGGGAACATAACGGCGGAGTGGTTGAAGTAGAGGTGGCAGAGCAGTTGGATCATAGAGGCGGCATCGAAAGCACCCTAGGGTTTCGGCTGGATTCATTCTAGACCGTTGGATCATGCCAGATCAAATGTATGTTGAAGCTAGTGGCTGAAAACCCTAATCGTACAGTTGGGTTATCTGGACCGGGTCGGGTATCGGGTCTGGAATTATAATCGGGTTGTGGGTTTTTTGTCTTGTAGTATTATTTATTTATTATTAATAATAATAAAATAATAATAATAATATTAATAATAATAATAATAATAATAATAAAAGATCGAGACAAAAATTTAATGTCTATAGCTGCCCCTCTTTGCCCATTCTTGTGTTAACAAGAATAGGGCAAAGACGAAAAGACAATAAATTTTTGTTCAGTTGACTTCTCTTGATTAAGACAGAGTTGTTGAATCCTCAAGTGATGGATTTGAATCTTTGCTGATCTCTGGAATTCAAATCAAGACACCCTCGAAGGCTTAATTTCTTAGTTGTCAAGGAACCCCTTTGTTATGCTTAGCTTCCTTTAACAGTTCTTACAGATGACCCGAAGGATTTCAACATCTTGCACTGAAGGTCTTACAGATGACCCGAAGGCTTTAACATCTTGCACTGAAGGGCTTACAGATGACCCGAAGGATTTATAGATTAAGAAACCCCCGGAAGATTAGTTTCTAAAATCTCATTTGAAAACATCCTGCATTGAAGGTCTTATGGATGACCCGAAGGCTTTAACATCTTGCACTGAAGGGCTTACAGATGACCCGAAGGATTTTAACATCTTGCATTGAAGGTCTTACAGATGACCCAAAAGATTTCAACATCTTGCACTGAAGGTCTTACAGATGACCCGAAGGCTTTAACATCTTGCACTGAAGGTCTTACAAATGACCCGAAGGATTTATAGATTAAGAAACCCCGAAGGATTAGTTTCTAAAATCTCATTTGAAAACATCCTGCACTGAAGGTCTTATGGATGACCCGAAGGTTTTTTTGAAAACATCCTGCATTGAAGGTCTTATGGATGGTCTTATAGATGGTCTTATGGATGGCTCGTAGGACTTACAAATTTGAGAAATAGTTTACTAAGTAAGAAACTTTGGAAATCTTTTTCTTACTATTCAACAATTTCATTTTTAGAAAAGATTAAATGAGAAACTTTGGAAATCGTTTTCTCATTTTTCGAAATAACTTGATTGGGTATCATGCCCTAACTTTAAAATAATACTCATTCTTGTGGATTGCATTCATCTATTCTTCAGATGTTTGCCTTTCCTGTCATGATTCCTGTATTTGAGTTTTGAATTCTACCTTCTCTTTGTAAGGTATTTTCATCATGAATCTTCTTTTTTCATACGAAGATCTATAAAAACCTTGTGTTTGAATGCAATCAAATGTATCGATGTAATGCAATTTCTAATATGTAAATGATGTTCTTATGAATGCATGAATGTTGATGCAATCTTCATTTGATTTTAAATT